CTCTCTGTCTCGGTCTCTATCTCTGTTTCTTTCTGCCTCTGTCTCTGTCTTCTCATTTTTTTGTAATTTTTCCTTTAAAAAAAATTTTAAGGTAAAGTATTTTCTCAGCTTTCAGCCCTGCTTTTATCTTGCTAATAATCCCCCTTTCCCCTCACACCCAAAAGAGGTAAGGGGCAGGCCTTCAGAAGACAATTTCTCTATGGCTCTTGAAAATAGTGGTTTTCTATTTTTTGCTTTTTTTAAAAAAAAATTATTTTGGTTGTATTTTTTTCTTCTTTTTCTCTCTGTTTCTTTGTTGTTGTTGTTGTTGTTTCTCTCTCCCTGTTTTATTTTATCTAATCACTCTGTTCCTCAATCTCTATTCACTGTGTCTCTAGATGAATCTAAGGGAACCATAGCCAAACATCCAAATACTATTAGAGTTAACATATTCCTCAATATCCACTAAATCTGCTACACAAAGGGATAAAAACAGAACGGCAAAGAAATTCCAGATTACCTCCTTCTGCACTCTCCTGAACGTTCAGACTGAACTTTAAGAATTAGGAAGAAACATACCATCCATCAGATGACTAGAAATCATCACGGGGCTACAGAAATATGGGAAAGCAAGAAAATACCTCTCCTCTTCGTCCACAAATAACTCAATAGAAATCATGGAAATATCTGATAAAGAATTTAGAATATTCATAATGACAAAGCTAACAGAGATGGAAGAGAAGAGAGACAATGAACTGCAGAAGAGGCAGGAGAAAGGAGCTTACAAGTTTCAAGAGGTGATGAAATTCTTGCACGATCTAAAAGAGAAATTACACAATTTAAAAAAATAATCAAATGGACATGTTAGAGATGAAGGCTATAATATGGGAAGTCAAAATCTCCCTTGAAAGTATTAAAAGCAGACTAGATCATACAGAAAATCAAATCTCAAACATAGAAGAGAAAATTACTGGCCTAGAATAATCCACCACAAAGACTGATAAAATTGCCCAAAAATACAAGAATAATATACAAGAAATACTAGATACCATCAAATGTCCAAACACTTGGATAATTGGTATCCCAGAAGGTGAAAAGACTAATAAGGGCATTGATAATCTATTCCATGGAATCCTGCAAGAAAACTTTCCAAACCTAGAGAGGCACTCAATGATCGAGTCCCAATACAAAGGACCTCAAATAGAATCAACCCAAGAAGATCTTCTCCAAGACACATTATAGCCAGATTGATCAAAACCACAGACAAAGACAAGACACTAAGATTGGCAAGAGAAAAAAGGCAAGTTACCTACAAAGAATATCCCACCAGGCTAATAGCAGACCTCTCATCAGAAACAATGCAAGCAAGGAAAGAATGGGAAGATATATTCAAAGTGCTAAGGGAAAAGCAATTTCAACCAAGAATACTGTACCCGGTGAGATTATCCTTTATATGGGAAGAAAAGACAAGAATATTCTCAGATAAACAAAACCTTACAGAATTTACCAGCACCAGATCGGATCTCCAAGAAGTTCTCAAGGGAGTGCTATACCAGGAAAATTAAATATAGACACACAGAAATAAGAGTTCAAAAACTAAAAAAATGGCCAACTTAATCATACGGACAAGTCTAGAGTTGAATATTATATCCCAGAATTTAATCGGGAAGATCAAACCACAACAGAAGATAAAGTACATGAGACTGAACCGGTGAAATAGCATTTTATGACTTTTGACTAAAACATTGTTGATTTTCTTCTAGGCTTTGTTTTCCAGTTTTAAGGATTTTTGTCCTGTCTTGAACTGTCAATAGGTTCATGTACCTACTATTTGAACAGAATTCTAACCTGTTTCCTGGCTTTTAGTTTTAAACAAAGTTCCTTAGAACTTCTTTGATTTATGAAAGTTAAAACTGCTTTTCTTGAAATTATCAGTGTAACTTGCTATTGAAAGTAGTTAGATTATTTAAGAAATTGTGTGTTTGATAAATATGAGGGAAAAAGGAATGGAAGACAACTGTAGACACCAGAGATAGTGTGGGAAGAGGGCGGGAAAGGGCAGAGGGTCAAAAATAGGGGTGAAAATAGGGTGAATATATATCTAGAAATGGAAAATTACTGACGATAACATGCATGATTAAGTCACTATGCAGTATATTCAGGATGGGAAATTACATTTTGTATGCTGTGATGATGCTTAAGGAATAAATGCAAATTAATTTTTTTTTAAAGTTTCAGAAATAAATAAATAAATAGATTGCTCTCATGGTTGAATAATTGAGTTTACCAATTTCCATAACATGGCATGAGTGGAATGACAAAGCAGGAGGCCTGAGTGCTACCTCTAGTCCTACCACTAATCAGCAGTTCAACCAATGATAAGCTCTTCTCCTGCCTGGCCTCGGATGCATCCACCCATAAAATAGAAAGGTTAGTCAGATAATATCTAAAAACGTTTCCAATTTAGAATCTATTCTATGACTCAAAGTAATAGCCTCAAATTGTGTGTGTGTGTTTGTGTCTGTGTGTAGGTGCTGTGTGTGTAGTATGTGTGTATATGTAGATATGGAGAGAGGAAGAAGGAGAGGGAGAGAGAGAGAACACTTGACAGGATCTCCTCCAGTTCCTCAGGACCTTGGACACCCATGTGTGCACACAGTGTGTTTCCAAGCCTACCCAGGGACCCAAACCCATGAATCTGAACCCACAATCAGTGACATGGTTCCCAGCTCTGCAGGACACTTGCATTGCCACTGTGCCACGGCTGGGCCTCACACATTTTACCTTGATAAATATAGCTACTTTCATTTTAAAATGTTATTTTATGTTAGTATATTATAGTTCATTATTTTTAATGAATTAATTACATTTCAGTTTCTGAGTCTTCCTTTCTAATATGGTCAATACCAATAGATATAACCCATTTAATCAAAATTCTTTATAATCCCTGATAATGTCTTATTTTTAATTTGCCAGAGGGTATGTGCACTCACCAAAGAGAGAGGGAGAAAGAGAGAAAGCAAGAAAGCACTCCCATGTGGCATGATCACACCACAATCCTTTCTTCTCCATTTCTCTCTCCTTTCAGGTTTTTGGGCATGCACACGTGCCCAACATGTTTCTCAAAACACTAAGTCAAGAACTCAAACCATGCATTCAGCCATGTGGGATCCAGCTCATGTAACCACCAGGCCATGGGTTGGCCCCCTCAATAATTTTTAAGAGTGTAAGAGGATCCTAAGATTAGAAAGCTGGTGTAGTGGTTAAGGGGACAAAATTCAGAGCCAGCTGCCTGAGTTCAAGTCTCACCTCTACCACTGGGGAGTTGTAGGACATTGTGTACAGTTAGTCAGAGAGTTGCTCTGTGCCTTAGCTGAGGATAATACAATAATAGTATTTACCTCACAGGGTTGTCAAGAGGCTTAAATGAGTTGATACATGTACCGTGCTTAGAAGTACAGATGTTATCCATCATTCTCCTTGGTGTCCTCCCCTTCTCTTTCTCTCTCTAGCTATTATCTATCTATCCCTTTCTCATTTGGTTCTGCTTGGTTTCAGCCATGTGGGCCTGGTCTAACAACCGCCTGGTCTAACAACCGCCGCCTCTGCCTTAACTAGCAGTGGCTGTGACTAGCATTCCTTTTCCAGGTAAAAAAAGGTGCAGCTGCCCTGACTCACCAATACTACAACCACCACCTCTTGCCCCTACATGGCTACAGCCAGGTGAAGCCTGAATTTGCCCTTCACAGAAGCTCCATCAGCAAAAGGGAACTGGAAAATCAAAGTAAGCAACATTACGTTTTAAAATAAAACACACACACACACACTTTCTCTGTCAAAAGAATTAGAATGTGAAACTTTAGCCTTAAGAATAATCAATGAAACAGAAGAAGGAAATAAAGAGAAAATGCAAGCAATAACATTCATTCCTTAAAGGAGAAGCTGGTATTTGCTAAAGTCCTTTCAATGTGAACTGTTTTCTTTCGGAGACTTCCTTTTTAAAATCTTCTGTTTTTAATTTTTTAAAAATTAATTAGTGTGTGTAGGTGGGTACAGTATGGTTTTTCACAGCATGCATACAGTGTGTAATTATCAAATCACAGATATAGTCACATTCACCTTCTCACTACCTTCCCCATTCCTGACAAAGAAGCTTCAAAACATCGATCTGCTTAAAAACGATGATGAACCAGCTTCCCATCATGTGCACATGACTGATGGCCTTTTTAACTTTCCAGGGGAGTCTTTAAAGTTTTATGAATATTTATAATCACGGTTGACCCTGTAGTCTGGTGCTTATATAATAGAAAAGGGGGACCTCGAGCCAGACTGTGGTGCAGTGATTAAGGTGGCTGGATCCCACATGGCCAACCACACAGTTCAAGTTCCAGACCAAGTGACTTGAGAAACATGCTAGTCACATGTGCATGTGCGCCAAAAATCCCAAAAGAAGGGCAAGATAGAGAAGGGACTGTAGTGTGACCATTCCTCATGCGAGGTGCTTTCTCACTTTGCCGGTCTCTCTCTCTGGTGAGTATACACTGTTTTTTAAGGAAAAAATTTATTAAAAATAAGATAAAGCAAGATCCCACATGGCTGACCTCAGTCAAATTCTTGCCCTCGTGGCTTGAAAAACAGCAGGCATGTGCGCATGCTGGTCAAAGTTGCAACAGGATAGAGAAATGGAAAACAGATTGTGTCATGACCACACCCTACTGAAGGGATGCTATCTCCCTCTCCTCTTTTTCTTTCTCTCATATACACACATGTGTGCATGTATATATATAAAATCATAACTTCTTTAATAATAATATATGAATCTTTATAATCATAAATCATTGCATTTATTACTTTTCTTATCTGCTTTCACATAAATTTTCCTTATTCTTGGCAGTGAGCATGTTGTTATTCGTATTTTACAGTTTAGGATACTGAGGCTCAGAGAAACTAGCAAACTTGCCTAACATCACAAAACTTTAATTTGACAGAATGGAAACTGGAATACAAATGAAATTGGAGGATTTAAAGAACAGAGGAGTAGGAGAAATACACAGCAGGGAGGGGCAGGGCATGGTAGGGAGGGTAAAACTAGCCTATTTTTGTTAGGGGGTTACCACTTAAGCAAATCTGCCCTTCTATGGAAATTACCTCTACTAACCCCCCTAGAGATTTTCAAAGCCTTTTTATTACCTCCACAACTCAAGCTTATACTCTAAGAATTCCAAGACTTCTTTTCATTATTTTTTTAACTTGCTAACTCATTTATACAATGGCTACCACAGAAGTACTGTTCTAAGGAGAATTTTAAAGAAGGTACACAGGTATGTTTTATATTTGAGCTGCTTCTGAATAGAGTGTCTGTAGATTGAAAACTGCCTGTATTGCATGTATGATGTCATTAAATATATATTTGGTCTGTCCAAAACTATCTGGCACTCATCCTTTACCAACATTACTGAATATTTTAGTTTCTCAATCACGTGAGCTTAAAAAGCAAAGCCAAATCTTATGAATATCAAACTTGAGTAGTGACTCAGGTTGATCACATTACTTTGAAACAGATAAAAGCTAAGATTCATGAAGGATCAATTGGGGTGAATGTTCACTTTAATGGAATATAAAGAGGAAACCTGGGTATGTTTAAACATTCATTAATTTAAACACAAATGTTAAAGAAAAATAATTTATCTTACATAAAATAATAGATATCTGAAATATGTGACATTCTTTGTATCTAAGGATGCTAGTACAAAGGAAAATACTTTTAGTAGTAGCGATATATTTAAAACTGTACTCTTACCTATTTACTTAGTAACTTAGTAGGTCTGTCCAATAGAACTTTCTATGATAATGGAACTATCTATATTGGTGTGTCCAATGCAGTAGCCACTAGTCACATGTGGCTATTGAGTATTTAAAATGTAGCTAATGTTATTGAAGAACTTCATTTTTAAATTTTATTTCATTTTAATTAATTTAAATAGCCCTCTGTGGCTCCTGGCTTTGAATTGGACAAAACAGTTATAAAGTTTCCATCAGCAATTAGAAGAATAGTAATAATCCCACAAGCCAGTCTGTAGTTTAGTAGATGATGGAGCCGGATCCCACATGGCCACCTGTAGTTTGAATCCCAGCCCCTGCCACTTGAAAAATACGCCAGGCACGTCCAAGTCCAGGACCCAAATTCCAATAGGATGGAGAAATAGAAAAGAGCATGACCATGCTCCATAAAGGAAGTGGGTTACTTTCTCTTTCTCCCTCTCTCTGACTCTTCCTGGTGGGTGCATGCACCTCTGGCAACTAAACAATAATAATAATCTCATAATTCTGTCATTCTAAAGACCCCAAATTGTGAGTATAATTAAAGCTATAGTTACTAAACTTCTAACCATTACTTGGGTGCTAAAATAAAGTTAACTGGACACAAAATTTCTCAGAGGTTTTATTTACTAATCATCAAAAACTATCATGTGCAAAATAATACGTGGGATATGTTTAGGCTCAAATAAAATATATACCCCTGGTCTTAGACAATTTATATCTAGTGGTAAAAATGTGTAAAAACACAAATAATACAAGAAAATATGACAAAGGATGATGATGGAGAATTGTTCAGTATAGACCAAAACTGGATGGAGACTATGTTCTCCTGAGGGGTACTATGGTCTCACTGTTTCTGTTAAATCCCAATTTCGAACATCCTACAGGACAAGGCTGGCTAATCATGTGAACTCATGCTTTTAAGAAGTACTGCTGAGTGCCATAACACCGATGAGCTCTGGAGACTCAATGCTGAGCAGGACAGAATGTCTGTCCTTCAGGGAATTTAATCTCCTGGGAACTACAATCAGGTGACAGACAATGAGAATGCGGTTTGGTAAGTACCACCACAGGAGCTGACCCTGAGTTCCATGTGGGCTCACAGAAGAGGCTTTTAACCCAATCTCTGTAGGTCACAGAAGGTTTCAAGTACTATACAGAATAGATTGTGAAAAGGAAAATAAAAAATCCTATCTTCCTATTACATCTATTGAATAGTTAGATTTCTTCTGGAAATTTCCTTTTCATTTCGTATTATGTCATTGACCCTTCCAAGGGTGTTCACATCTTGAGTACACTTCGATCAATACATATTTATCGAACTCTGAGTTGATGAGCCTTGTTGTCATTTTCCCGAAGGGTTCACCATGTCCTGTGGGCTAAAGGTATATAAAGGCAAACATTTCTCCTGAGAAAAACAAGTTCCTAGGTCAAATATTTTAGTAATCTTCCATCTAGTACTGCCTTGGAATGCATGGCTTCTTCTAAAGAGTTCCTTTTTTAAATTGTGTGTGGTTTTTCTATCCAAACTAAATTTAAACAGTTCTCCAAAATAAACTTCAAGAAGGCTAAATAAACAAAAGAAAAAAATCCACCAAAATGTAAATATACTATTTGAATACAATTAAACGTATTACTAGAGAATTCCTATTGCAGAGTGACCATAGTAATGGGACATACCTGGTATTCTGTGTGCAAATTCTTTCCTCCGCTTTAGGCTAGATGGCCTGGAGCAAGTTATCTAACTTCTCCTTACCTCCATTTCTACATGTGTAGACAGCAGATAATGTGATAAGAATAACCCTCACAAAATTGAGATAATTGAATATGCACATATTTATTAAGAACTTAAAGAGTGCCTACCCTAAGCACTTAACTGTAGTAACTAGTCTTACTCATTACAATTCCAACTGCAGAACCCTGTGAGAAAATACACACATTCTGGCAGAGAAGTTAAAACAAATATGGAAAATAAGAGACATCCAGCAATTCAGCAGCTTTCTCTATTCTACCCTTGGCCTCAAGGTAGGAAGGAGAAAAGGGCCTCCAAGAGAGGCTGTGAGAACTCAACAGAGCAAACCCACAAACCCACCTTCCAGGAAAGGCAATTGGTAAACAAAGATCTTAATTTTCTAATTCAGACTAATTTATTTATTTATCTACCTACCTATCTATCTATTGCTTGCTTGCTTGCTTCCAAGACTTTGATGGAATGACTTGAGAGGAAAAGGGCACAAGAGATAAAATAAAATGACTGCAGTATTTGTGTAATAAATGCTTTCTGACAAGAACAGCGAGATGGGCTAGTGTCTAACGTCTACTCAACACAGCAGAAGGATAAGAGGAAAGCTCTGGGATGCAGATTTCCAAATCCTAACGGGGAACCATCTGGAAGCAGTTGCACGCCAAATCCCACGTTCACGGAAGCCTGGAGGATGTCCTCATGGGTCTGGGGGTGTAATCTGACAACTATGAGTGCCTTGGGGATTTCGGGACACAGATGACGGGCCAAGGCTCGCCTGCTCGCGGTCGCTTCGCACAGCACAGTTCTCCACGTCAGGAGCCACGTACTCAAGCACCGAAAGATGCCAACAGGGCGTGATGGTTTCCCGGACTGCAGTCTCCCAGGCAGGGCATCCCTACCCGGCCCGGCGCGCTCGCGACCGACTAGTCCAGCGCGCCTCCAGGTCTCCGACGGCTTTCCTCAAAGCACCCCGGAATTAGCCCTGACGTCTGAGGGCTCTCTAGGTTTTCCATGTCGCAGGCGAGCGCGACGGGAGCGCACCTGGCAGCCTCCCAGCAAGCCCAGGCTAGACCGGCCCATCCCTCACATCCAAGCAGCTAGGGGTAAGGTACCCGCCGCCTGGTGAGTCATTGTCACGTGGGTCCCGGGTGCGCAGAGGCGGGCTGCGCCTCGGCGGCCCCGGCGCTCGAAGTCAAGAGTGGAAAATTTCCGGAGACGCACTGCGCCTGCGCACTGGAGGCTCCGCCCCGCCCTCCCCCGCCGTCGCCGTCCCTCTCCCGCCTTTCTCCCTCCTTCCTCCCTCCACCACCACCCCCCCGCCTTCCGGTCGTGGCGGGCCGGACACTGCGGAGGTTCCCTTTTCCCAGGAATGCTGCGCTGCTCACGCCCAGTCAGCTGCAGGCCCCAGGCTGGGACCGCCC